CAATGTACACACATAAAATTAAGATAGAAGCAAGGTAAGACAAACCAGAAATGGTGCAAATCAGAACACATTTGTCTTGTATACAGTTAAAAACAAATTTTGTGATTACAATTAAAATATATTTTATAGTTGTTCCACTTAATAAATATGAACTGCTATTTAAGAAAAGACAATCAGCTATTTATTAGCTATTTTTAATACTATTTATAAAAAGAAATGACAATGATCAGGAATTACCCCAGTGATCAATAATTACCCCATCTGTAGGGGGCAACATTTGATATAGTTTCCCATAATCAATTATAATGTTTACAGTAAATGTGAAACAATTAAACAAAAGATTACACTATTTTCATATCAAAGAAAAAGAAAGTAACTCAAAATATTTATTATTAAGAGAAGGAGGGGGATCTTTGCAGAAATGTACACATTTTGAAACTTATCTTTGAAAAGGAAAATACAGAAAGCAGTTTTAAATATACTTATTTTGTTAGATTAAACAAAAAACTATTATTAAGTAAATGTAGTTATACTTGAGTAAAGTTTACAAGCATTCTTTCCATGTCTCAAATTTTAAAAAAAATAATTTTTTTCAAATAAAACTTAAGTGATCATTATTTACCACAGAAATAGAGTGATCGTGAATTGCCCCAGGTCACCCTACCTCTTTAAAAAACCTAAACAGACCCCTGCTCTAGTTTAATCAAGAATTCCACTGTCTTATAAGTGTTTTAGAAATAAATTCTTAAAATTAGGAAACTTCATAAAGCGTCATAATTTTTTTTCTTTCAGCTTATTTCTTTCTTACTTGACAGTTTAAAAAAGCAATCCTGTAAAAAATTAAATTAAAATATTTTTTTTATAGTTTTATATTAATCAGTTTTTATTTTGACTCCAGAATTTTCAAATTATTTCTATTGCTAACTTAAAATTTTTGAATGAGTTCCTAATCATTAATTTTCATTTAAAAAAAGTTTAAAAATTTTTAATATATTAAATTATGACCTGAGGAATGTAATGAATAAATTTAAACATTTTTAATTGAAGTCCATTTAATGTTGTCTCAAATTGAAATAAAAAAAATATATGTATATATATTGCATGTTGTTTTAAAAATCATTAAGAAGATTCTGAATGTGAGAATAGTCTACATATACATTGGATAACAATCTGCATACATTTTCTATTATTTCTTAAAATCTACTCTATTTTCCTTGTGTCTTTTGGAAAATAGAGGAAATATTTATTTTATAATGTAATATAAATATTTATTATAATATTTATTTATTATTTGCATGGAAAATTATAAAAAAAATATTTATTTATATTTAAAGACAATTTCAATTACTTATTTGTGTATTTGATAACTTATTTCTCTTTTTATTTATTTATTTTCTTATACAAAATCTGGGAATTAATTTATAAAGACCAATGTTTAATTTTAAAATTTGGCTATTGCAAGTAAAATTTATCTGTTTTTGGATATTGCTCAAACCATTTCCATTTCTGAACCAATAAGTTGACATTCTTTCTCACAGTCATGGTTATTTCAAGACTGGACATATTTTTTGATCAATTAACACGATCTAGCTTTGTTTACCAGAATTTTCAGAAACTTTTAGCTCACTAACTCAAAAAATTTATTGTTCGATAATAATGTCACATACATTAAATCAACAATTTGATCATGTTGTTAATTTATTCTTTCACAGCAAACAAGATAAAAATAATAGTTAATTTTGTAGATCTTTTTGTTCCAATCACTGGATAATAAACCACTAATTTTTTCATGAAGCTATTCATGTGACTACTTTATTTTTTATTTTTTTGCTTCATCATTATTTATTTCTTGTCTGATCTCTATAAATATAATTCAATAAAAAAAATAATCATTTCGCAATAGTTTCAAAAATCACTTCAAATCAGCATATCAAAATGTTAGGGGAAAATGAAAACTCAATGCAACAAACAATAGTACAAATTTTGTTTAAACAAGTAGACGCTGAAATTCAATCAATCCCATCCTTTCATTGCAGTGCAACATCATTACTTAATCACTTCACAATAATTTTGAAAAATAATGTTTTTGTAAAAATGTAATATTTGTATAAAATTAACTAGAAAAATAAATAGAAAATGTTTGTATAAAATCAACCTTTTTAAGGAAAAAAGATCATTTTAATTTAAAAAACAAAGGGAAAAGAAATATTAATTGATGAAATTTAGTCTCTTAATTTTTTCTCAAACCTGGTTTCAGTCCTGAATAGTGACACCCATGGATTCACAGTTCACCTGAATTAGGCTTTCTGAAAATTTTAATGAACACAATTCCATGTACTACCCATGAATGATTGCTTCACCAGTCAAAACTGCACCTTTAGAATATGGTTGCAGTTGTCAGTACTTTCTAAAATGGAACATCAGCCATCGCTGAACTGTGCAGCTTAATATTTTTAAATTCTTAAAATAGGTTAGAGTAGATGAGAGACTCAGTGAAATTAAAATTAATAGTCATTGACTGTTGATCAATTTACTTTTGATTAAAAAAAGTATCCTTCAATGTTTGTTTATTTACTTTTTTATTCAAACAGGGTTGCCACTCCACAGGGAGAACCTGGAAAATACTGGGAGTTTAAAAATAACCTAAAATAATTGGGGAAATGCAGAGAATTTTGATTTTTTCTTTACTAACTGGGAAAATACAGGGAATTCTGTTTCTTATCTTTGTCTTTAAAAAAAAGGTGATCACTCAAAATGTAATCTATGACATATTTAACCATGATATTTCATCTATACTAAACTATTTCATTTACTATATCATTATTTTAAGTATGTTCATCTGTTTTTCCAGCAATTAAAGCTAATAAATATGGTTATCACAGTATAGCTCACACAAGAGCACTGTAATTGTTGTTTCCTCTTAAAATATTGTTTATAATATGTACAGGGAATTTTTTTTACCAGATTTGAGTGGAAATCCTGTCAAAATAATTCAAATACATTTGAAAATTCACTACTTTATATGGTGAGCAAAAAATGTGTTGTTTGAAAACTTATTTTATATTCTAATTCATAAACAGTTATAATAAAATTATTTATTTCATCTATTAATACTTTATAAATATGTTGCTTTATTTAATTTATTTTCTGAATATTTTTAAGTAATGTTTTCACCATTATTTACTCGATAAATTAGAAAAATTTAATTTAATCTTGTATTTGTGTGTTTTCATTGTTTATGGTGTAACAATTCTTTTTTTCTCATTTGCTTACCTTAACCCATTTTTAGAAAACATATTAAAAAGATGTTAGAGCAACTGGAACATATAGTGGAGCACAAGTCTTGATTTTTTTTTTTAAAAAAAAATATTGATATAATTATGAAATTTGATGTATCTTTATGAATGAATTTTAAGTTTAGACACCCTTTTAACTGGCCTCCATTTAACTGAATATCTGATTTCAGTGGTTAAAATGAAAAATTAGCAGTCAACTCAAATGATTTTAAAAACAATTGTAAAAAGGAAAAAAAAATTGAGATTAAATAGTCCTTTAAAGTAGGTGGAGAAAAAAAGAAAGACAGGGCATATTGATCGAATGATTACAATAGTAAAATATGTTAAATCTTGCTAAATGAGTGAGTGTATATATATATATTTTTTTGTTTTGCATGTATTTAGTCTCATAAAGGAGTCTCATTTATTGTAATGTTATCTATGCACCAAAACTTAGGAGATAAAAAAGCATAGGATCTTTATTAGATTACTAATTTAACTTTTCCTTTTACTTAAGTATTTATTTATTTATTTTTTAAAAAAAAGAAAAAAACTTGTATGGTGGCATACTTAAAAAAATTTTGCATTTTTTATTTATTAATTATTACTTATATGGATTTTTATACATTTTTAAAAATGCATATTAAAGTTGAATGCTTTAAGTGTTCATTGTAAATAATTCTGGCGTGCAAAATAATTATCCAGCTCAGTTTACTGTATCAATTACAACCTATGCAATGCTTTTTATTATTAGGGTTTCATTGTTTCTTTCATAAACTACAGCCATTCAGTTCAGTTAAATGGAGTCTGTTGTATCCTCATAAATATTACGTAAATTTTACAAAATTATTTAAATTCATATTCTTTTACTTCAAATTTGAAAAGGAATGTGATTCCCAATTTTCAAATAAAAAATTAAATGAATTTTTAAAACAAATGCCTCTCTAGTCAGTAATTGTATCAGGATTTTCATGTTTTAAAATCAGGGTAGGCACTCTCTCTTTGAATCTGGAATTTTTAGGGGAATTCATATTCAACTCTAGAAATTCTTAGAGTACTAACAGTGTAATGACTAGACATAATTTTATAAGTGTATTTTAATCCAATACTAGACATTAAAGCTCTTTTTATGTATATAATCGATCATATCTTATAAAAAAACTTATTCCATTGGTTTAGTGAAATCTGTGAAAGTTGATCAGTCATTCTTCATTACTTTTGCAGTCTAGTTTTGAAAAATGCATCAATTGAGTAATAAATAAAATATGAGTAATTTTTTTATATCATTTGATATATATCATTGTTTCTCAATCACTTCTCTGCAGATTTATATAAATTGGTTTAGGCTTAAAATATTTTTCATTGCTTAGAGCATGTGAATAATTATTGATCAAAAACAAATTGGTTTAAATTTTTTTTTTTTAAGCTCCACAATTTACATGTGTAAAGCCATGTCACTAAAATATTTTACCAGTCTTTCAGGTTAATCGGGTTGAGAAGCAGTGTGTGATAGAAAAAAATTACTCATCCTTCTTTATAAGTTGTCATATATTTCATATTATAATTCTAAATAATTAATATATATATAAAACAAATTAACATCACTTTAAAATTGTTTTCAGAAAATATTTTATTTAAAATAGATTAATTACCACATTTGAATTACTATTTTAGTAAACTCATTAGTTAAAAAAAAATAAATAATTTCTTAAAATATCACTGCATGCGAACATATATTCGATTAGAAAACTTACAATATGCATTTTAACATTTTAAATTTCATTTTGATATACTTACAAACCTATATTCAAATAATTCTCATGAAAAAATGAAACAGCTTTTTCTGCTCAACTTATCGAAGTGTTAGAATAACACTCCTAGACAAATTTGACTTGGATTTCAATGGTCAACTTTCATGATAGACTGATGGTCAGGTTAAAAAGATTTTGCCACCTTTTATAATATGGGAAAAATTTAAATCATTCATAATATAGGCAAACTTACAAAGATGCTTAACTTAACAGGTTTCACTTTGCTATCATTTATTTTTCTTGTTATCTATGCTATATTAATGAATTCTTCTAGTTCCTAATTTACTCATTTCAATTTTCTATTAACAAAGTGTTTTCCTTATTTAAATTAAATTTCTTTAAAAATTAAGAGTATTGACAATTTTGAATAATTCATATCTAGAGATTTTTATAAATTAATTTTAAATTTTGTAAATATACATATATTTGTTTAATATCGTGAAGCTTGAATAATTATAGAGGAAAAAAAATTTACAATTTTAATTTTGGGAAGAATTCCTGTAATAGCAAGTAAATGTTTAAATCATTATTAAAAATAAGCTAATTTAAAGTGTGAAAGTTTGTAAAACTTACCAAATTTTTCTCTAAAAATTTCAAGGAATTAAAATTTTTGTGGAGAGTAGCTACCCTGAGAATACAAATTCTACTTCCTGATATGCTCGAAATAAGAAAATTGTATTTGTTATTTAAATGTATTATGTAATTTATTAACAACACTAACATATAAATACTAATATAATTTTTGTTGTTTTTCGTAAATTATTGTATAAAATGTTTTACCTATTCTAATAAATTGATATACAAGTTGCTGTGTATGTATATAATATTTTAATAGTTTTTAATTAAATATTATTTTCAATATATTTATTCTTCATTAAACTACTTGGTATTTGAAGTATGAAAAATAATATATTTATAATCATCAATAAGTTATAAAGTACAGTGGAACCTCGTTAATGTGAATTCGAACTAATTTTTGAAATCTCATCAATTGTATATGGATATGTAATGTTTTAATGTACTTTTGATGTGAACACCTTTAATGTGAAATCTCTCGGGAGGGAGAACTCTCTGTTCCACAGTAAAATGGTCGTTGGTGGAGGTTGGTCGTTCTTAGAGGTTATCTCCAATTGCAATTAGTCAGTGTCATTTTCTTTGTGCGGAAATACCACTTCTGTGAGCATTATGGAAAAACGGATCTATGAATTAAATTTAGCAAAACTATAAAATTACTTAGCTTTAAAAGATGAGAAGAGGTTTGTTTGAGATGCTTGTTTTTTCTAAAATAACTCTTTTTTCTTTCTAATTTTACTTTCAACTCTAAAAGTAAATCATTGATGTTTAGTGCACTCTGACTGCAACATGAGGTTGTATTATCGAAAAGAACTTTCTGAATAAGAGTCTCATACGAATAGTTTTGAATATATTTTAATCTACCTATTTGTTTCGTTAAATTTTTTCTGTTTGTATTTCTTTGACCTTTTCTGCATTTGGTGCAGATGTTTGCTGGGAGAAGTTTTAATGGTCTATCCTAAAGGTTTTCTTTAACACAAAGTCTATGGAAAAGATTCCGTGCTTCCCAAGAGTGGCCGTCAATAGAGGTGGTCGCTACATAGAGGTGGTCTTTTCTGGAGGTTTCACTGTGTCTTTAAAATCAACCCGAATTTCTTTATTTCTGGGAAAAAATATTACTCTTAATGTGAACAGAAAATTTATTTCCTCTCTGACATATAAGAAAACTGATCATTCACTGTTCTACATCTACTAGAGTAGATTTTTTGAATGTTCAAAATTGGAACATTACAGCAGTAATATGGGAGATGCATGAATTAAATCATGATTGGTATAACAGGAAACAATTGAAGCTTTTTTGTACTCTATGAATAAAGTTTTCTTTCAACTCATGAGGGTGTATCCTGGATATGAATGTTAATAAGTATGTTTTCCTAAAAAATTACCACCCATATTCATCCATTCTTCAATATGGGTAGTTATTTCTCCCCCACTCTCGTAGATTGTTCTAAGAAATTGAAATTTCTGAATTGCATTTCCTCTGCTAAAGATGTGTGGGGCTAAAAATTTTCCTTGGTTTCACTAGCGAATACTCTGGTTCACCTTCCTCTGGTGGATGCTTACATTGAAATTCATTTTTCGTAAAGCAAAATGAAAGTTCGAACCTTTTTTTTTTTATAGGGTTGGTAGGTTAGAAGACTTTTAAAAAGAATGTGTGAATATGAAACCATAACAGTGAGCTATTATCGATTATTTTGTTAGCATTCCTCTTTAATTTGTGCAGTAAATCAGTATACCGCTGTTAATTAGATACTTTTCAGTAATTTCTTATGTGATTCTACAGAATTTTTTTATATTGTAAAATAGAGAGTCACTTTTTTTATACTGCTGATACCAGGGTTTGTTGATTTAAATCAACTGATTTCATTTATATATATATATATATTATTATTTTTGCATTAATATAGACTTGCATGGCTGTAGAAAGTAATTAATAAACATGATTTTTTTTTTTTTTTTTTTTTTTTTTTTTTTTTTTTTTTTTTTTTTTTTTTTTTTTTTTTTTTTTTTTTTTTTTTTTTTTTTTTTTTTTTTTTTTTT